TATCCCATGCAGGATGTTTGTTGCCGAACGAGTGCGTAGGTCTCGTATTGTTTGATGATCTGTATTCATCGGCTATTTGCAAGCTTCTTTCTAAACGTAAGGCCGCTTCCTTGACCTTTTCGTACGCCTGTTCGCAACTGCTGGTCTCTAGCGCTTCAGTTAGGCAATAACTTCCATTCCAATTGGCAAATTGCCTGCACAAAATCCGCTTTCTGCAAGGAAGTTGCTTCTGCGGGCATTTCTGGGTAGGCCTAATTCGCTAAGTTTTCTAAAACGAAGGCAAAATTCGCTCACGGTCTGTCCGGATCGAATGGTTAATGTGCGCAGATCTGATAGAGCTTTTACTCTTTGGCTATTTCCGTCTACGCGTAGCCTATCTCTTCATTGCGTTCACTACTCCCTCAAAGTACCCTCTCGTACATCTTTTGGTAAGGTCTCGAATATTGTTAAAGCGTTTCTCCTCAGAAAGCTTTAGAGAAGTTGCAATCTGTTAGAGTCTTTCCACTGACCTTTTGGGTACTTCATGTCAAATGAGCTTAAAAATCTCTTGAAACACTCGCCTGGTCTACCAAGGAAGGGCTGTACTTCTGGTAAGGACATGGTACGCATGTAATCACTCAGCGAAAACTCGTTATCCTCACCTGTGACCGACGATTGTTGAATTCCTTGACAGTTCTCTGAGCCGTCTCTCGGCGTAGTCACGCAATACGGTTGGCTCGATTGCATCCAAGTCTTTGAAAAGCGCATCTGTAAAGACTGGTTGCTTTGATCATTCGTTTCTACTGAATTATATTGTCTTGATCGATCAGACTCACCTTGCGCTGATCCACTGCTATCCGTATTATCGTGGGCGCTCGCCTTGCCTTGCTGCCCTAGGCCTTCGACTTCTTGACGCAATTGTTCAACCTGTAATTCTTTTTGAATCAATTGCAATCGGTACTCATTCAGACTTTTGCCTTTCTACTCTTAGGCCAGCCCTCTCACCCTCATGCGTACTTCCTCTTCCTGACATTGCAGGATTTCGCATGCTTCCTCCTTTACTTTGATCATCGCTGCGTTCTTACTTGAGTGTTCTCTCAGTTGAGCTACACTGTTTATTTGTGCTTCTCTTAGCAGCTGTAAGGCAAGTTCCGCTACATTAGGTTTACTCCACTCGCTTATTTCTACGAGCGTTGCTTTCACAATTTCTTCAACTACTGCTACTTGCTCTCGCACCGAAGTCACTACCGAGTCTCTTCTCGGGTCATCAGTGCGCATTACTTTCGACAGCTCCGAGTCGCATGTTATAGCAATCGAAATTCACTTGATTCAACACTTTGTTTGAAAGTCTGTCAAATTCTATCCGGAGTTGCGGAGCAGATCTTTCATCTAAATGCGCTCCATCGACTTTTGGAATACAAATTTTAATTCACAGGAGCTTCAAACCCTTCTACCTATCGGCCGCACCTTCGACGTCTAGCTATTAGAGGAGATCAATGCTATTGAACAAAAAATAAATCAAGATTTATAATAACGGAATTCGATGACAAAACACCTGGATCACGAGTGATTGATAGTATCACAAAACAATATTATAGTACGTATGCGCACGAGTCAGACTCCATTTCCTAGTTGTAGTGCTGAGGTCACGGCTCACGCACCGGATTGCAACACTAATATTAGGAATGGTAAGAAAGTCCTGAGCCGTTGTGTACACTTTTTTGTGCTTTACTTTTTTATTCCGCGTACAATGGAATCTACTAACAATATAATCACCATTGTTACTCACTACAGAGTCCCACCTAATGGGCAGGTCAGCGACCCCCTTCTCCCAGAACTGAGCAGACTGAGAGTCAAAGAAATCGCTGACCGCTCTTTCAACGTCTTCAACTTTGGTGAATTTTTTCTTCGCTAGGAATGCCTTAAGTAAAGCAACAATCCAGGAACGAATTTGCGGGCTAAAAGCACCTATATTGAAGTTGTAGGTGAAAAGTGGGCGAATAGAAAAAGAAAAGTGAGGAAAGCGCCTAACTGGGGCTTAGACAGGGGCACCCCCTCTGCCGTTCAGCGATGGGGGAAGACGTGTGTTGGACGAGTTGTCCAAATCTGCTCGCAGTAATGCGCTTCAATTGCGATTGCTTGCAAATACTTGGCTGATTGCTAGCAACTGTAATTGAAGCGCACGCTGAAATGAAACCTTGAATCGAAGGGGACACATTGAAAATCAAATACATTCGGCATCGAATTTTCAAAGGATAGACCTCAAATGGTCGCGGCGGTCCCGCAACGACCGCTAGTCAAGCATGGACTCTGTACAGCGTATGTTGAACGATCCGCCCTGGAATGAGCGAACCGCCCCCTTCGAGTGAATTTCGACCCCTTCCAGCGCATTTCAGAGGTAGGTTTTGAACTCAGTGACATCTCCTATGAAACTTTAGTTGGGCTGGGGCATGTTTTGACCGCCTAATGACCAAGTAGTTGAAACCCTGCCTGGACTGTTGCTTTAAGGGATGAAATAAGTGATAATCAGAGAGGGCAATGTCAGGGGAATAGGGTGGGTGGGGAACCGTCCCAGATCAGCTCTTCCAATTTTGCACGGGTCTCTTTAGCTATGTGGGGCCTGGCGTCATCGTGGAGTAGGTGGACAGAAGTTCGTCTCGGTCGTTTTTCTTGAACAGCGTCCGCTAGTTTCTGGAGCTGACTGGCGTAAATGCTGCCGGTAGCGGTATGTCTTTGCGGGAGCATCTCATAATACAGCATTCCTCACGAATCCCAGAGGTAGCAAAGAAGACAGTTTTTGGGTGAAGGTCCGATTTTGCTTGTGTCGGCGGGTCTTCTCCTCGAGGGAGCCACACGGCACTGTGCTTGTTAGAATCGTAGAGGACCCAACTCTCATCTCTCGTAATCATGCCTTCCAAAAACTCCTTTCGGTGCGGACAAAGAAGGAAGAAACTGACAAATGGGTACCCGCCTAAACCGCGTGCTATCGGTCAAGACATGAGGAATCCATCGAGTCAGCAATTTCCGAGGTGAGGGCGTGGAGGGAATGTGGAATGGGTGCACTCGAGTCTTGTCACAAGGGTGCGGGTGCTAACCTCCGGATCCTCTTTGACAGTGCCGAAACGACAAAGATCCCACGTGTTTTGGAGCGTCCCACTTGTATTGGCTTTGAGAGCCGTGCCTCAATCCTTCAAAGCTGCAGAACAGCAGCTTTGGCATACATTGGTGGTGGAAGTGGTGTCCCTTCCCAATGCGCTGATGATGTTGACGGTTTCCACTGCTCTGTGCCCCAACGCCATTCATTGAAGATGATCGCTCGAAAGTGCTCTTGTGGAATCGACATCATGATTAAAGTTAAAGAAGGCAACCCGGCTAATATACCTACTACTGCGGAGAAGTATGATCGACAGCGATAATCTATCACGTAGCAGATTCTAGGTATCAATCAATAAGCGAAAGTACACCACATCCGAGATAATTGTGGTGAACGTTCAGTGTCTTTCCGTTTAGTTCATGCTCCATCCATCGTCGTTGATCACATGCCCCGATACAATTCGATATCATTCTTGTGTTCAAGGCTGAAAGAGATAATCTCCAAAGGCCAGATAATCACTCAGTGCTTAGATTAATGATGCAGGCTGTAGCCCTACAGTTCGTAATGATATGCATAATAAAAACTGAACCAGATCACTTCGTAAATGTAATGATGGATACTACATACGGCTTTTCAGATGCGGCTTTCTTAATGCAGTTGATGTCACGGAAAAACGAACATGAGGCTTAAGTATGTTACGCTTTTCGGATATCTGTCGTTGAACAGGCCCGTTATAATCTAGTCTCGAACTCATATATGATTTGATGTGATAAATGCTTAGCCACTGCTGTGGCACTCCACATTAGCTCTCTCTCTCTCTTGAGGGTTCCGCCCTTTCCCTGGAAAAGCACATATAAATTTCTAATAACTTGTAATTAACATAAATAGGCGGAAGAGCGTTTACGAATAAAGTACCAACACCCTGCTTTTAATAATCCCAGGGCTGAAAGGGTTAATTTCATATTCATAGAGTCAATTTTTCGCTCCACCGTTCTTCATCTTGAAATAAGAAAACTTATTATTATGTGCTTGAAATACTTTCCCTTGAAATGGAAGAAATGAGAAATATGTTTACTATTGAACTATCGCTAAAAAAGCTCACACAACACTGAAGAAACATTGCTGAATATGTGTGAAACGAGCATATGGTTCACAAACAGCGCATGGTAGAAGTCCCGCCCTCTAGTGTCGTTCACCAATTCACAAACCGTCTCAAGTCGAACAAGTAGTCATTTGGAGATAGACTGAACTGAATATATCCTGCCTTTGCTGCGATTTATGCATTCGTATCTGTGCTAATTGAAAGCAACTTGATGTGTTGCCTCTGGGGAGTGAGAGCGCATGGTGCTATGACGATCTCTGATTGTGAGGTCTCAATGGGGAAAAACTGTAACATGTCCTCACGTGTATTGTAAATGATATTTTCGTCATGAAATCGTTAGATAGCTGTCTTCTCCTATTCTTGTATCAGTCGGTTTTTGTTTCAGTTGCTTACTTTCACTAGGCAATTAAAGAGCCGACTCACTTTCATATCTTGGTCAACCCTGTGAGCCAAACTTCATCGCATCTAAAGGAACGTCCTTTCATCCGAATTACAAAATTCTAAAGCAGTCACCACTAGTTGATTATATTCAGATCTGATTTGATGCAACGGTGCAGATGAGACGCTGTCGGCAAAGGGGCAAATGAAGAAAGAGAAAGCATGGAAGGACGACACCTATACACAAGGTCTATTATTGGACCGGGACATCAGAGGTATGTATGATCGCGTGGGCTGGCGAAATTAACAGGTGAGATGGCCTAGGGAAATGAACACTATTTGTGGCTAACCCATGAAGGAGGCCCGTTGCGCGGCAACAAGGCAGCGTCAGTGACCAGTCCCAGCGCCTACTGCAGTGATTTCGGGCCCAGCTGAATAGAATGTGCTGTTGTACGTCCTACATCGCACATCACGCACTGCGACTCGCCCGCTCACTCTGCCTTCTGTCGTGCGACGGACCTCCTGTTGGGCTACTCATCTTGGTGTGCATCCGCAAATAGGTAGCCGCTCTAGCTCTCGTTTTGGTGAAACTCGTAGGACTTCCGGAGGAGGAGAGCCGGAATCGTGGTCATTGTTCGCTTCTTCGCGGCGATGGATTTTCTGTGGAAGTTTTCCATGTCTATGTAAACCCATCTACAAAAGAAGCGATATCTTTTAGGGACACTGTACAAAATGTCATCTCCGCTAGACTTTTTCTTTAACGCTCTTTACAAAGCAGCAAGATCCTCAAAGAAGGCTGCACAGTAAGCATCGCACCAAGAATGTTTCATTTTATTCTAGATATTATATTCTCTTTTAACCATCATGTTCTTAGAAGTCAGTTCTTATGATTTGAGCATAAACCTGATCAATCGTTACTAAACTCCGCATCAAATTCAACACCCTCAAACCGAACTGGCTACGTATTCAAGGGTGGGCATAATTTTGTTCACGTTTAATATGGATTCGTCACAAAGTACAGAAGTTTCAAGTGGTAGAGAAGAAACCTCTCCTATCAATTCCTAGCAATCAACCTGGCAAGATTTGTCATCTGTATTGCAGTCTCCGTAATAGGAGCCTGTTCCAGAGGACTGTTGTTAATCACTGCGTTTCAGAACACCTCTGCGGTAACAGGGCTTTGTTACCTCAAATGTCGGACCGAGAGAGGAGCAAATAAAATTTTAATGAAGGGAACGCAAATGCTGCGCAGAAACTGCATTTTTGAGCATCGTTATTTGTTCTTCGCTGAACAATAGTTCCTTTGTTTGGGTGAACTCTGGTGAACTCAACTCTCTTAGTGTGAACTCTCTTAGTGTGGAGGGTGAAATTCGACCATAATTTCATGATATACTGAAGGATCAGAAAGAGCGGTCGTTGAACTCATTGCGAAGCCGATACTCCGAAGCATTTGCACAACAGCTCTTCTCAGCTTGAAGTGATGCCTTTAGTTTGTAAAACATAAGAAAATAAAAATAGTCATCGGAGGTACAGATGACATCGTTTCACCATCATGTTAGATTTTGTAGCATTCCTGGTAGTACCAACGGTTGGAATAAGTTGAACAAGTAAGGCAAAGTTCAGTGAGTAAGGCGTTTGTCGCATAGATCAGTATTTTGGTTAGTTCATTTCTTGCGGGGTCAGTTCTTTGGCCGTAGGCTGAGGTGCATCGCGAACAGGAGTCGGCCATTTTCTGGCAGCCTTTGGAGGGCGCATGTGTCGGGTCTTCGTGTACTTCGAGGTTACACGAAACCTGTTACGAATAGATGTCCAAACTGTCACGTTTGTCTATGCACAGGAGAAGAATCCAGTCTACACTGCATAACGCTCAAACGAAAAGCGGTCGTTTTACGTTGCATGAAAAGAAGCGGGTCGTTATCGGTGAAGGAAGGTGAGGAAGGTAGGAGAAGGGCCCATGACTCTACGGAACCGCGATTATTGCGGCACTCCCTTACAGACTTTTCCGGACTTTCAACCTATTCCATGTAACTTGAAACCACAAATCAATTAAACTCATTCATCGCGCTTCAAAATTTTAACGGCACCATTTGTCCTAACTCATATATTTCCATAATATGCATTTAATTTCAATTAATTTTACCAACGTTCGATATCCAACGACCACCCTCAGCACCTTCGAGGCTCTCGCTATCCCCACACAAGCTGTCCATGCTATCACTGCATAGCAAATTTTCCGTGAATGTAAGCTCAAATGAATCGTTCCATGAGCAAATTCGCTCCCTTCCGTGCCTTTATGATAGAAATAAGAAAATGCTATTGCCCAAAAGTGGACACTTGTTCTTAGTGCAAAGTAATACTACAATGAATGAGTAAAGCCTGCGCCTCTAGTAATTGTGCAGCTGCTAGCTAGTCTGCGGGCAAAATCAGCGTCAGAATGATGCATTGGAAGTTGTGTACTACGAAAAGCAAGAACTTCTTTTACTAACCGGCGGAGCAAGAGACGGGGTTTTGTGGTGGCAGTGCACTAGGAACCGCGTAAAACATCTTTCTGTTGAATCGGGACTAATGGTAAGCTCAGGCGGAGGAGTAGAAACTCCAGGATGTGTGGGCAGTTTTCATTTTCACCTAACTTTCTGCCCTCTCTTAGGCCCGGTCCCGTATGATGAACGGTATAAAAATAAAAGTCATTAGACTTCTCCATCTCTGACTTCTTCCTTATAAATATACCACCGCGATCAAACGCGGAACCTCTGTAACGTTGTGGCTTCGATCAGATTGGCCCCGCACTTCCCATCTCGTTTCCCAGACTAGCATCTGTTGCAGTCCTTTCACCGGCACGGTACTTACATTCTTAAATATGGTTCTATAAGCTCTCAAGGGGAAGTGGTGTAGTGGCAAGTGGCACGCTCACCACGCGAGCGGTCCGGGATCAAATCCTGGGTCGTGAGTCGCCCGGGCCAACCAAGCCTTCCATCCCTCCGGGGTCGGTTAATTGGTACCAGACTTGTCTGGGAGGATAAAAACACTGACTTGAACATCGGCTGGCCCCCGCAAGTCATTGTATAGGCCACATCGCATTCAAACGCCACTGCGAATGTACAAATGGAAGTAGAATGCGTGCCGCATCCCAAAAAGGGATTGATCAACGGCAAATGCTTTATCTTTTATCCTTTATCTCTCCTCTCTGTCAGGCCTGCAGTCCCGCCCCTTATCAGGGTGGGGAAGTCCCACTTTGCCATTGGAGCATATCATGCAACCTTCATTCGCAAAGATGCGCTGCTATGGGGAGTTATACGCGACATTCCTTAGATGTCCCCCCCCCCTAAGCAGAATCAGGCCCACCTTCGCTGCCTTCACACCGTCTCCAGAAAATATGACGTCACCTGTCATCACCGTCGAGCTCAAGGAGGCCTACCATAATCGCTCCATTCTGAAGCTGCTACATAATTTCTTCAATCGGATAACTGGTGAATGGCTTCTTAGGGACACTAGCTCTGAATATGCAAATGGCTTTTGACAGCGTTTCAGAGACGTCGTAATCGTCTATGGCTTATGGACGACCTCGTTGAGCTCGTACCGGAACCATGTTTCCGTGGGAAAATCTTCTGATGTCGTCGGTTAGAAGGCCCTTATGTAATTTTTTGATAGAATAGAATGTGCTCTTCAATACGCAATTAAGCTCATTCGGTTTGGTTCTAGGCAAAGTGTAATTAATTCTGTTTTGAATGTGAGTGAGAGTGACTCATTTTTGCCCCCTGTATATCGATCTCCACCCTGTATACCAATCTCGCCGCACACAGTGCTTTGACGACGATTCCACACTCGAGACTGTCTACCATCACACGCAGCTACCGTTAAGGTCAAGGGCCTATAGTGCGCGTATTTTCAATAGAAGTCAGATATGTGGGACAGCTCCAGACGTGATTAATCAAAGCAAATCGAACTTGATGTCATTTAAAAACTTTATTTTACAAAACAATATCAGATGATAACAGGAAAGCACGTATCCGGTGTCTTCAGGTAAATGTACTGAATAGTCGACGTCTAGTCATCTTGCTCTTCCAGATATATACTCCAATAGGCGAGATTGAACAAAATGAAGGCGACTGGGAAGATAATTCTGAAAAAAAAAGAAAATTGGTCCAGAAGATGAGCAGTTTTAAAATATACTGCAATCTTTTCACCTAGCAATGATATCTATTCGTTCAGCACGACCTCTGGATGAGAGCACACTGCACCATCGAACGAGCTCTATCCGTTTCCGTTGACCGATATAAACCAAATCGGTTGTATCCTGAATTAAAGACGTAATAACTATTAGGTATCTGACATGCTCTTACGGAACGATAAGCATTTCGAGCTTTATGTCACAGCATGTCCGCAGGCGGATTGATCGATTAGTCGAACCCGTATTAGTAGCTGCTGGGATGAAAGTGCTTCGGGCAATCGAGTAAACTTGTCATGCGAGCTTGGAATATGTTAGAAAAAGGAGTGAACGATTTCGGAAAAGTATGACACTTGATGTCGGAGTTGTAAGGTACGAGGAACCTCAAAGTTCCTACTAATACATTTACTTCTCGTAAAGGAATATTGAGCGTGACGGATCTTTTGGAGAACACCCCTTTCCTGTATCCTTTCGCAGAACTGCATAAGATATCATCCGATCATGTGGTTTGATGAACGCAAGCGTGAATTCGGCCTCCTGATTAATAAAGTCCGAATAGCCACACATTTAGATGAGTTAAGGGAATTTGGTTTAACAACGAAAATATCAGCCCGAAAGAAATCAATTGTAGAAGGTTTTTCTTGTGAGCCCAGATGTAAGGAAATTTTCCCGGAAAAGACACTAAACCATAGAAATAGAACCTTTGGCTCGATACTTAAAGTATGAAGGACCAGTCTCATCGACTCCATTATCTGCTAAGTGAGTAGAAGTCCGTGGGCTAGATACGAACGACGAAGGGCTTAGCACAAGCGATTGGCGGGCGTGCTACGTGGCTACGAGCGGCATTCTCATAGACTGAGCAACTCGTTCTGCCTTGGGGGCCTCACGTTTCAGAGTAGGTCTTCGATCTGCGTTCATACCATGAAATCATCCTTCAAGATGAATTCATCTCAGATGGGAGGAATTGAGCGTTTTACCATTTTGAAGAGTGTGACTTGATTCCATGGAGAGGCAATTATAATCTACACTCTACTCCTTTCTGAAGGTAGGGTCCGAGAATGAATTGGTGTGTCATTCCGCTTTGAAATGAAACCGGGGGTGGCGAATGGACCCTCAGTTAGGAAAAAGCAAAGCAACCGTAGAAAAAGACCAACATTAAGAACCTGCTTTCTAGTGGGGTTGACTGCGGTAGAATAGAGAGGCACGGCTAGGAGAGGGAATACGAGAGAGACAACACGAGAGAGCAAGTCACAAGGGAGGATGGAAACACAGCGTAAGCTGGAACGAGTAAAAATGCTAGGGGAAGCATTGGCGGCGGCAATGCCCTAGCCTCCTTGCAGCGCACTTTCGAGTCACGACAGTGCCATACTTGAGTCTTCAGAGATCCCGCTACTCACTTGGAGAACTACTCTGAGGACATCGTCGCGACCAGTTTCCTCAAGGGTCCAGCGTTGAGGTGATAGTATCGGGTGCTTGGAGGTTTTGAAGTAGAAACATTAACACATGCCTGGAACGTCCATCCTTCCTCGACATGGCCAGCTGTCCGTGGAGGGTTGACCCATATCGCTGAGTTCAATGCCATCATAAACCAATCCAATCTCTTCTTCTCGCAACTCGAATGACTTGTTACGTTTCCTTCGAAGAAGACGCTAAAATACCGTTTTTTTTTAATAAAAGACTTATCCGATGTTCGTAGATTCCATGGTAGCTAATCGGAATGTAAACGTGCCTTCTTCTCCTGCGGGCTGAATCCTACCATGGAGCTTGGCGACGCCATCTGTTCGACCGATTGCATGCACATTTGATTGTCGATCACATTCGACAATCGACTTCGATTACATGCCGCTTTCCGCATTTGTCTGGAAGGAATTGCTTAGTCAAGAAACTTCATGATGTTCCCAATGGTGCTCACCGGTGTTCGTCCAAAATTCCCATGTAATTCACAACAGCGTACTCGATCAGAGAGAAGAAGATAAACACTGCAATTCAAATAGGGATTATTTATTTTGGTATTCATGGGTATATAGTAGGTTAAAAAAAGCCATGTGTGATCTGTATTCACGTCCTCTACACCCTCAGTGCTCCGAACAGTGTCTACTTTCATGTAAGGAAAAATTATTACCGAAAAATTCAATCTCTCGGCAACTGGAAAATGGAAAATAACAGGGAATGACAACACCCAAATCATCTTGCTCTCTTGCTTCGTTAACTCTCTTTTTGGCCGCTTCGCATTTCGAATATTTTTCTCAACGCGAACGCTCCCCCTGTTGAACAGCTAGAGAATCAGACACGAGTCAGGAAGGAGAAAGGAAGGAATCAGACGACGCATGAGGGGGCGTACCGGGCCAGTAGCGCTCCGTTTCGTCCGCGTGGAAGCTATTCTATACAGTGCGTACCAAAAGTATGTGGACACCCTAGAATCGATTCTCAGGAGTCAGCTAAAGGCTTTTTGTGTTATGAAACCTTCACCATTCAACTCCTAGTGGTCGATAACCTACAATGACATTCTTCGGCAAAAGATTTCGTTCTAACTTAGCGAACTATTTTTCATGGAAAGTTTTTTCTTTGTATCAAAATTATGTGGACACCCTGAGGCAGATGAAGTTTTTGCATCGATTTCCTAACCTATTTTTACTTCTCCTTTCGTTACTTATTCTGGCATCATTCCTCTTCACGGCAAGCGTTTTTCTGAAGAAGACCGAGCACAGAAATGGGATCCCCATGCTTCTGAACCTTCCTATTGCGAAATAGCACGTCAACCAGTCATGCGTCCTCGTAGGTTTGGAGAGAAATCCGAAATCCTGATGCTAAGCTCTCGACCTTGACTGAGGGTTGTTCTCAATCGCTACTTGTTCAAAACAGGAGAAGAATAGCCTTAATTTTCTCAAATTATTTTCTTTTCGTACTACTCAACTTTACGCATAAATGATCTTCCCGATCTTAAAAAAGACCAATCGGTGTCTCATTCAATCAATTGAGCACACGACACGAAAGAAGATGAAGAAGGCTTTGTATATGAATGCGGGTTCAGGTTGGCAAGGTTGGAATTCCCACTCAAAAAAGGATCACAACATGATACTTTGAACCCACACAGACAGCGCTTTCGTGGAAATGGTAAAATATAAAGACTTTCTGTGGAAATTTCTTCATAGACCAACTCGACTGGCAGAAAGAAGCTTATTCCTTACTATTCGGGTGGGTCTTGAGGTTTTTGGAGAGACTTTGGTCGGACCCGCAGATGTGCTCGAAGAGACAATTCGGAAGATGTTCATCAAAGGTCTGGGGTGGTTCCAAAAGGAGGGGGACATTGAAGTTTGGCTTGCCAACATGTCAGGTAGACGACTAGGATTATAATGAGGTGCTTAATTTTTTTTTTTTTTTATAATGAGTGCTTGAGTCCCGGCTACAACCTTTTTCGAAAAGTCATGGTTGCAAATCACTTGTTTTGCAGGGGAGGTCCCTGACACCATTCCATTTGGAAAAATGCTAAACGCAACGGCTTTGATTGGCAAGTCGGCTAGCGTATTCCTCAGACTTCATCCTTATTGAAAACGTAGAGGTATCGTGGTTCGCGGTCTCTACGTCATTGAACAAAAGAGTAATATCACAAGTGACCTAACACGTCAACAGATCTGCAAGACATGTATCCAGACCCCATTCATAGCATGCCAAACAGAATGGCTCAACTTACTAGAAACTTTGGTAGGCCTACCGATTTCAGATTTTGAAGATATTGCCGTTTTTCAAAAAGTGTCCACATAATTTTGATACAAAGAAAAAACTTTCCATGAAAAATAGTTCGCTAAGTTAGAACGAAATCTTTTGCCGAAAATATCATTGTAGGTTATCGACCACTAGGAGTTGAATGGTGGAGGTTTCATGACATAAAAGCCTTTAGCTGACCCCTGAGAATCGATTCCAGGGTGTCCACATACTTTTGGTACGCACTGTATACCTGGCGCCATATCCTTCGATGAGATATGTCTTGTCTTTGTTGCGCTCACATTATTTCATTTATTTCGAGTTGCATTAGAATGCTTCAGGAAATGGCCGCGGTCTTTTGATTGATAGAGAATGCCGAGATGGTTTCAAGGGTGTGCAATTGTTTAGATAATGAGTAAGAGTGAGCAGCAAGTAAGTGATTGCGGGAACAAAATGAAGCTTGAAAATGTTATAGTAAGGTAACACTTTAAACATGCAGGCTCTTGATTTAGATAGCACATGACTGACGACACATGTCCTACCAGATGTCGACTCGACTCTCGGTATTAGAGAACGGCGGCCAAAGGTTCGAGTTGAACGCTTGCCAAGTATTATTCATTATCAAAGGCTTATTAATGAAGTATTGCCTTGCAAATAAATATCAAGATTTTTCACCGACAACAATTCATAAAACTGTTATTTGGTTTTGACGTCTTAACTGTGTAGTTATTTACTATGGATTGTAGTGAAAGCTGAGCGAGCTCGCTTGCTGAATCCTGAATTTTTTCCCTAGTATATATTACTGTCCTTTCTCTTTTACTTGTTTGTATGCGGGAGTTGCATGGAGGAGCATTCTGGTAGGGGTAGTGGGCAATATTCAATTCTCTACAGTCACGCCTACAGGTCTAGGAACTAGGGCGAAAAAAAGACTGATCTCTCCTAGGAGTACGGAAAGAGCCGTCCATAAGCCCAAGAGCGGGCCAGCGACTTAAAGAGGCCGTGGCAAGGTCCCGGTCAGCGCATCGTGCGGCCCTTTGTGTTGTCATCGCTTACAATCGCGGCACACATGGCGTCTTCGCCATCTCGCCCTATGATGTACTCGCTTGCGTTCCTCACCTCTCACGCTGTGTCTCTCCGTCATGCTATGGTCGACAAAACAAGGAAAGGGACTATGACAGGGATTATTTCAGTGTTACCTATGGTGGTTGTTGCTTTTTTCCACCATTGGCATTCTTCATCGCACTTCTTGTCATATTTTTGAGCAAAACAGCACACAAAAAAATCGATTCCGACCCGTGCCTCTTGAGTCTTTGAAAACAACGGGACGATAACATTGACCAAAATAAAATCTTTCACCTAAGAACCTCGTGGCAGAAGTGAAAAGACACTAACAACATGGTTGGAATGAACACGTTCTGAGCTCATAACGGACTAACGAATCCTGATTATGTGCTGCAGCAGGGCTTTTAGGTGGTCCCCACTTTTTATCGTCTTTCATCCTTCATCTTCTGTTTATGCCGTATGCCGCCCTATTTATGTGTTATGCTTATGTTTATGTGTTGTGCCACAAAGGAACGCAGTGCAATTGAGCAAAATATGACTATACAGAAGGCATTTTCCTTGCAAAAACTGCTATCCTGCCATCACATTTTTGAAGGTCGTTCCACCTTTTCACTCTGAGATCCAGGTGAGAGGTTTCGAAAAGGTATCTCTTGGCCACGCTCTTACGGCAGTTGTTATGGAGGAAATCAGGAACAAACCGTCGACATTCAACGCAGCTTGGAGTCGGTGTCAGGGAAGGGTCTACTTGAGGAGGGGCATCTTGGTGGAACTGACAGCTGCTTCTGAGGAAAAGACTTTTTAGATGCGAAATTTCAACGAAATCAAGCGAAATTTGGGCTTCGGCAGCTTATCTGTATACACTTCATAACATTGTATCTCTCATGGGTTGATGGAATTTCAGCGAAATTTCAAAGAGAGCCCTTATAAGAAAACATATCGTCCCAAAAATGTACCATGAGAGGTGGTGATCATCGTCAGCAGAGAGGACCAATGGCTGAGCGTACTCGAGCAGGCAGTACTTTTCCAGTCCAATCCAATACGAGATCCATGCGACTCCGACCAACATCGACGACGGAATGTATAGTTGCAGTAGAAAGAACGAGAAGACCCGATTCAATTTTAGCTCAACACGCAAGCACGAGTACTCGCCTAAAAAGAACAAATAAATAATTAACACAATAATAGGAAGAAACAAAAAGCGATACTTTTCCTTGAAGTCCATCGGGACAAAACTGTTGCACCCTCCTTGCTAGGTTTGTCGCCAATCTTCAAAAGTCACCCAATTTACTCTGAAGAAGTTCCCGAAGAGGAAGCGCCGTCGCTTGTGTTATGCTAAGGGACGTGAAATTAACTATCGGACAGACCGAACAAACAGGCCTCCATAATTCGGGTTCGGTTTTCTGGTACTAAGTCTAGTATGGAAATACAACCCTAATGAGGCAAAAAAAAATTTTGCCCGTGCCGTACTTCAGCGATTTTTCCGTCACAAAGATTGCCGCTAAGGCAGTAGTAATATAGCAAAATATTTCTCAAATGTCCCCTTATAAGTGAACACAAGCACTCCCTCGTGGACCCCACCGCATTTGGAAGTGAAGTCGTTTGGGATTGCCGTCGAGCCCAAGGCGACCCACCGTAACTGCTGCAGCCTGAAGCACCTACACAATTTCCCGAATGGACTCTGGCGATAGTTTCCTAGAGACATGAGCTCCCACTATGCTAGCCCCCTCTCAACCAGGGTTTTAGGAAACGTCATAATGGTTCATGATCTGTCAAGACCCCTGCAGAGGTCGACCCGCCTACCACGTTTCTGTGGCACATTTTTCTCACGTATGCAGTTAACGTAGAGGGCCATGGTGAGGCTTTTCTTGATAAAATGGAATGCGCTCTTCAAACTCAAGTTAGGAGCATTCGGTTTGAACTATAGAAAAGTGTGATCTATTCGAGTGCCGACAAAATGCCTTTTTTCGTTGCTTTCCCTTGTACACTGACCGGTTCCCATAATTACTGTGTGGGCCTAATCACAATCGAAATGGCAACCACTTCTGCATAGAAGTAGAACTAGAAGAAGAGATTGGTCAACGCTCAATGCTTTTTTCCCTTTCAGGCGGTCCTCTTCTGAATATTCCATTTTATCCTGAGCCTTATGGGTTTTGATGCGTTCACTACTACCC